TCAGTTCACCTTTTGATTCAAAACCCAACGACTTCTGAAGGTGCATTCCTAATTTCACTTTGTTGCATTACGTAATGTATTCGTTGCGATCTGTGCTGTGCTGAGGTAGAGGTACAAAAAATATTACAGACGAACATCTGTTACCTATTTTTGCTTATAGGGCCAGGAGGCCACCGAAACCAACTTAAGCATGGCGTTGAACTTTGAGGCCTATCTTTGCACCAAAATTAATCCACTATATTGGTGAGTTTTAATTACACATAGCAAAAGTTTTTGGAACTCTCCATGATCAGTTTAGCTAATCATTTACTTATACACCTTCCCATTATTTGTGATTGGGCAAAGCTTTAGTTAATATTTATGTTTAAAGCATTTAAAGAAATGTTCCGATGCCTAACTTTGGTGCGCTTCTTCCGAATATCTTAGCTACAAAGGTCACACTTACTGCGATTGCAGTGATGATGCCTACAACCATGAGGTTTTCAGCGGAAATGCACTACTGGACAAAGTAATCGCAAGTCGAAGGGAGCGGTTTATTAAGCGACCGACGAACACCTTTGGACAATTTGAAACACCCTGTTCGAACGTCATGGCCGAGGTGATTTTGATTACTTCCAGCACTGTCTTTCGGCAGCACTCTTGAAGCTTGGCATTAAGTTGATAATAACACTGCCTGTCGTAAGAACTTTTTCCATTTTAACAGTTTGTAAGAATGGCAGATGACACAAAGACAGAAGACTTGGAGAAGTTGTTTTTTCGCATCTGGAAGCTACGAAAGCCAGGCCTAGTATTGTCTCTTCATGGCTCAGTCCCAACGGCGAAGGCATCTCAAAAGCGCTGTTATGGCTTGATTTTTGGAGTTCTTCAAAAAACTCGTAAATTTCAATCTATTCCTAGCTTTTCCTGTCGTATGATTAACGAGACTCATCAGCGCATTCATGAAAGTCTTAAAATCGGAGCATAGTGTTTGCATCCTTCCCTTAACCTGCCAAGATTCCAACAATCACATTTAAAAGAGCTTA